CATGACTAAGGTCGTGGCCTTACATATATATGTAACACAATGCTAGGCATGTTTATGAGGACATATAAAACTACTTTGGCCAAATTATGAGAAGTCAACAGTCACTGAAAAAGACAATAATGCTAAGAAATGAAGGCAGCAGGAAAAAAGGAATAACCAGCATGAGATGGATTGCCTCTATAAAGGAAGCCACAGTCCTCAGTCTGCAACACCTGAGCAAGGCTGTTAATGCTAGTACATTTTGGAAGATGTGAATTCATAGGGTCGCCATAAGTCAGAAGCGACCTGACAGCATTAACACACATACACAAAGTTCCACTGAGTTTTGTTTTATTAATTTATATCCCACTTTTTTTCCTTCATGGATTTCAAGGTAGCATACTGTGATAATAAGGTTGTTCAGATTCCTTTTATGTTTATTATGTTATAGTTGGAAAAAGCTGTTTTGTTATGTTATAGTTGGATATATGCTGTTTATCTTAAAAAAAAAAGGTAGCATACCTTTAGTACATTTTCACCCCACTTTTCCTCTAGGGAGCTGACAGTGGACATACATGGTTTTCCCTTCATGTTCTCCTCATAACAACCTTCTGAAGAAGGTTAAGGCTGAAAGAGAAGATCTGGGTCAAGCTTATGCAGCAAGCTTTCATGGTCTGCCAGATCCCAGTCTGGCACTCTAACCACTATACATGCTGGTTGTTATTATGTTCCCAGGTGGTCTGCCAGCCAGGTACTGACCTAACCCTGACCCACTTAGCTTCATCAGGAGGCTGCTGTATCGTGGGTGTTCAAACCTTACACTGAAAACATGTTAAGGAGTAAAAGCTTCATCATATTAAAGCTAGCCATCTCAAAGCACATTACAATCAATGTGTTCAAACATCTTCCTATTAGTATTTATGCAGGACAGAGAAAACTGCATCCTTTTTATGTCCGTGCAATTTTCCTTTAACATAGGAAACTGCCTTATTCTGAATCAGCCCATTGCTCCAGGCAGCAATACTCAGACTTCCAGAGACTTTGCTTTTCCAGCTTTGCTACCCGTGATCTCTTTTAGCTGGAAATACTCAGGACTGAACCTGGGACCTTCTGAATGGAACGCATGTGCCCCAACACTGAACTCTGGCCCCTCCTCTCACCTGCAGTCTGATGAATAGTGTTGATAGGATAATTTTGCTTCCTGAGTAAAGGCAGCACAAAAACACTAGCTACAGAATGCACACTCAGACATACCTGAAGCCTTACAGTGGAGATATTTTGCATGAAATATCGCACAGAGGATGACAGCCTTCCTCCCAGTCACGCTGATCTTTATCATCCCTACCACCCCAGCACAATTTCTGTAGACCTGGGAATTGTCTATGAAACCCGGATATGTCTATTGTCTCTAATGAAGAGACATTCCATTTGGCATGGAAGCATTCCAAAAGTAAAGAACAAACAAATAACCTCTCAACTACAATGCACCCCCAAAACCATAAAGGTAAAGGTAAAGGTTCCCTTGCTCGAAAGCCAGTCGAATCCGACTCTAGGGTTGCGGTGCTCATCTCCATTTCAAAGCCAAAGAGCCAGCGCTGTCCGAAGACGTTTCCGTGGTCATGTGGCTGGCATGACTAAACACCGAGGCGCACGAAACGCTGTTACCTTCCCACCAAAGTGGTACCTATTTATCTACTTGCAATTTCTTGCTTTCGAACTGCTAGGTTGGCAGGAGCTGGAACTAGAGACGGGAGCTCACTCCGTCATGCGGCAACTCGGGTCTCGAACTGCTGAACTACTGACCTTCCACAGCCTGCAGTTCAGTGTCTTAACCACTTGAGCCACCGCAGCCCCAAAACCATACCCTGTAATTATTATTTGTAATAAAACAAACATGAATCTTGTGGCACCTTGAAAAGTTGGGACCAGCATAGTCAGGACATAAAACCCAGGGTTTGACCTTATGAGGATTTGCCTCATGCGTGTGCTCTAGACCAAAAGACTGGAATAAAAATGCATTAGTTTTTTAAATTGCCATAAGACTCCTTTTCATTTTTTCTGCAATAGACTAACAGAGCTACTCCTTAGGAATTGTAGTAGAATCTGCTCCACATTCTCATCTAGTATGTTTTTAAAATCCTGGACTTCCTCTAAGGAATTCATGACAGTGTACACGATTCCCCTTCCCCATTTTACTCTTATAACAACCCCATGAGGTAGGGCTGAGAATGACTGGCCCAAGCTCACCTAGACTGCTGTCACAAAGGCCTGTATAATGCAAAGGCATTCACAGCAATACTGGAGCTTCTACACATGGGGATCTTCTCTGTGTTTTCCCCTTGCTTCCTGCCTTTTTTCCCAAGCACTAGGTACACCACTGCAGTGTCCTAACAGCACAGCAATATAAACAAAGAAAAAACCATGTAAAAAGCCTGCCAGTGATGGGAGAGGGGAAACAGCAAGCCTGGAGGGTGAATGGGGGGAAAACGGCCCTGGATATAAGCAGGGAGGTGTGGGATGTGGGCCCTGGATGTGGACACACCTTCCCATCCACATTCTTAACAATGCCACTTTCAAGGAAAAAATCTACCAAAACAGGTTTAGGAGCAGACCCCAGGGAAACTAGAGGAGGCAGGCTGCACAATGATGTTGTGTGGAAGTCTATTTTTAAAAACTTCCTACTGTGGAGGGGGGCACAAACGGAGAGCAAGAGCTCCACGTGGAAGCAACACTGGTGAGTGTAATGGCTGAGCAGGGATTTGAATGTGGGATTTCCAGATTCTGATCCAGCACTCTTAACACTACATCACACTGGTTCTCAAGCTACAGTGCTGTGTAGTGGTTAAAGTGCTGGAGCTGGACCACAGAGACTTCGGTTTGAATCCTCACTCAAACCATAACCCTCACTGGATGACTGTAGACCAGTCACTCCTTCTCACAGCTAACCTACATAGAACTTTAGAAGATCAAATACAGCAGTGCTCAGGCATGCCACTCTAAGCTCACTGGATACAAATGCGAGGAACAGGGCAATGCCCAGTTGCACAGCACCTGCTTGGCATGCATGAGATTCCAGGTTCAGACATCTCCAGCTAAGCAATCTTGGACAAGTGTTGGGAAAGATTATTTTTCCTTCCCAAGACCCTGGGCAGCCAGGGCCAGTCATAAGTAGACAATAGCTCACTAGTTAGGATCTGGGAGATCTAAGTTTACATTCCCACTTTGCCATGAAGCTTTCTGGAGGACCTTGGGCCAGGTATTCAGAAGCAACCTGACCTACCTGACAGGGATGTTGTGAAGATATAACGAATTAGCACACAGCAATGTATGCCACCCTAGCTCCTAGGAGGAAGTGTGGGATAAACATCTCCTAAATAAAGAAATATATATAATCTTAATAAAACTTAACTTAGCTAAACATATACGGCAGCTTCACTTGTGAAGAACACATTTTTAAAAATCTACTGAAATTAGCAGCAGAAGCCCGCACATAGATTCAGAGGTAGAAACTGTTTAAATAGAAGCAGTGTGGTGTAGCAGGTACAATGTCAGGCCAATTCTCACTCTGTCCTGGAAGCTTGCTGTCTGCCCTTTAGCCACTCAAACCTACCTCACAGGGTTGTTGTGGAAATTAAATGAAGAAGAGAATGATGTACGCCGCTTTGGGTCCTCAGTGGGTTGATAGATAGATATGTATGTATGTATCCATAAATAATGCCATTATTACGCATGACACAAAACTACTCAAATACCTCAGGAAGGCCACTGACAACGTACACGTGAAATCGGCCCCGTGTCTGAGAGATTCCCCCCCCATCTCCCCCCCTCCCACCGCCTTAAGATTTCCTTCACGTCCGGCTTGTTAAAAGCTCTTCCAGGCTAGTCTCGTCTGTCCACCCTGCGCGCGCATACGGGTCCCGCTGCCCACCCTCGCTTAACCTTCCCCGACGCATCCACCGCAGGCGGCCTCCAAAGCGGCCCTGTAGTCCTGCCGCTTCCAAGGATTCCCCACCCCAGGCGTCGCCAGTCCCTCTGGCACTCCGCCTCGGGGGATGCGCCTCGGAGCCGGATGATGACCGCGACAGCGGCGATGATGAGCTTCGGCCCGGCGTCAAGAATGGCCCATTGTACAGCCGCCCGACCACGTGACCCTCCCTGCTCCCGGCCGGGCGGTGGGGAAGGACGACTCCCCTCTCCTCCTCCTCCCCTTGGTTTTTCCCCTCGGCAGCTCCGCCCAAGCCGGAGCCTGCTCACAATGAGGAGGGGGCTATGGGGACCAGGGGAGTGCGCATGCGTTTTTGCGCCCGGCGGCTTCCCCCTTCATTTTCTCGTCTAGTGCGGCAGCAGCGGGAGGAAGGAAAGCTCCGGCGGCTGGAGAAGTAGGAGCGCCGATGAGGGAAGAGGCGAGGCTAAGGCCGGCTCAGCCCGAGGAACACCAGAAGGAGTAACAAGCTGGCCGCACGAGCGCCGCACCCAGCCGCTTCGGGTTTTTCCATGCCGCGGCGCGCCAGCTTGCTCGGGTAGCGGGGCTGGGGCATTCGGACATCTCCCTGTCCTCGCCGCTGCAGGAAAATCGGCCAGCCGCCTCTTTCCAGACTCTGGCTCCCTTCCCCGCCCCCTCTGCATTTTTGGGGGTGGGCAGAGCCGGGATCTCCAAGGCTCGCTGGAACGGCTGCTTTTTTTGGAAGGAAACCAAAATCCTTCAGAGGGATTTCCTCCGCTGTCATTGACTCTGATTTAGGAGGGGGGGGGGAAACGAGACAAAGCGAGCGAGGGCCAAGGAGGAGAGGACACTCGGGGCTCGTTCCACATTCCTGTGCAGAGGCAGCGAGTGGGGAGGGGATTTCTCCCCCTAAACACCGCTGAGTTCCATTGCATCATCTCCATCCTCGGCTACTACGGGATTTTTTAAATTTTTGAATCGGCCTGCTAATTGCGGTTTTTGACATAGATCTGAGGAGTCGTCTTTTGGAAGGAGAACCATGTAATTTGCCTTTGCAGAAAAACCCAGGCTCTGTGGGTGGGGGGAGGGATCGAAAAATGGGGGATGCTGCAGACGTCAAGGAAATGAGAAAGACGTTCATTGTCCCTGCCATCAAGCCCTTTGATCATTACGATTTCGGCAGAGCGAAAATCGCCTGTAATCTAGCCTGGCTGGTGGCCAAAGCCTTTGGGACCGGTAGGTACCGCGCCTTTTCTCCCTTCCTGGGTCCTTTGGGCTCAGGTGGATTCGGTCTTACCGGTGTGAATCAGCCATCCGTACAAGAAGGGAAAAGGCATGGGAGACGTGGGGTGGGTAGGTGGGCGGCAGGGAGGAGGAGTGGTAGGCACGCAGCACGGCCGGTGTGCTGTTGTCTTCATTCTCTATGCAATGTTGTGTGTCTGCTGTTTTTCCTGAACGAGTGATCATATCGATTATTTTCAAGAGTACAGGTCTTGCAGTGTAGTGTGTAGGTGGCTACCTCCCTCTTCTCTCCCGAATTTTCCTGCTTGTCAGAAACATAAGCAGCGTTTTCCCATTTAGTAAGCTTGGGGGTGGGGACTGGATGAGCATGGTTACTTTTGACATGTGTGAGGCTTGCCTTGCAGGCATCCAAGGAAGGTAAAGATTGAGCAGTAGGAGGGGGGCTTCTGAGAACAGGAGCCTTTATTGCCAAGTGTCATCCTTCATTTCTCAAGAGCCCCCCTCCTGTCTGTATTTATACATTGAATTCCTTGAATGCTTTCTCTAAGGTGAAATGCTTCCAGACTGTTTTAAAATCTAGGCCTTCAGGAGCAGTATGGTTTATTGTGCATTTTGCGGGATCAGTTAGCCTCTTTCCAAACAATGGTATTCAAGCTGTAAAGCAAATTACCTTTGAGTGGGTGCTTTTCAAATAAGCAGAGTAGCTGCTTATGGTGTTCCATAAGAGAATCACAGTGATGTTCCAGTTGTGTCTCCTTTTCTCTGTAGAATAACAGGAAAAGGTCCCCCCCCCCATCCTTTTTTTGCAATTCTGCAACTGTTGCATTTGGAGCCAGGATATTGTTGCGCACTGCTTGTGGGCTAGAACATTTTATGTTTTGTTTTAACTGTGCCAGATGGGAAATGACAGTTTGACATCAAATAGGTTTTTTACAGATGTCTCTTTTGGTCCTTTCTGTGAGGTAGAGGTTACTTAAAAGTTCATGGACATAAAGAAAAGTCAGTAGCCTGTACTGAGGTGCCAGAACATCGTGTTGACTGGCACAGTGGCACAGTAGCTCTTTGGAGAAGTTGCTGTGGGGGGGGGGTTTAACTGCTCTCTAATCAGATTTGTATGCTGATGTGGTTATTGAGAGGATTTACTTCAGAGGACTTCATAAAAGGTGTGACTTCCCCCCCTTATGATTCAGTTTTGCAGGTATGATCGCAAACACCTTTTAATTAACATGTTGTAGTAATGCTGAAGTCATATCCTTGTCTGGTAAACAAGTGAAACAGCATTCCAGTATTTCACTGGTGTTAGAGGCACAGAGCCTGACAACGAAGGCCCTGGTTCAAATCTTGCCTGCGCAGTGAACTCGCTTGGTCTGTTAGTTAAACCATTCTCTCAGCTCTACCCTTCTATTTGCGACGTGGGAATAATACCAGCCTGCCTTACACAGCTGTTGTAAGGATTACTGAGATCATCAATATGAAGTGCTATAAACTCTGTAGTGGTCTTCAAGGTTTCCAGAGCTAGGACTAATTTTTAATCCCCCAGGCTGCAGGTTGAGACACACTGAGCTACAAGCATCTGACATTACAGTCACATGACAGGAAGAGGGAGAGCCAGAATTACGACCACACCCACATCAAGGCCTGGCTCATGGGCATCAGACCAAAACAGCCAGGGATAGGAAACACAAACCAAGCATCAGGAGAGGCATCTCAGTATATGTAGGGATGTATTCAAAAACTCCCAAATATCGTGAAGTGTTTGAAATAATGTTGGTTGATACCACCCGAGCTTAGGTATGGCAAATGCCATGTATAAAATGCCTCATGTTTGTACATAAAAAACTGAAGGCCTCAATGTATGTCCATCACTTGTGAGTGGCATCATAGATATATGGCATCATAGATATAATGCCCCAATAAAATGCTCACAACCAATGCTCCCTCTAAGCTGGGGAGTCCTGTGAGCAAAAATTCTACTTGGTGAGCTACTGGCATTAAAGTTATGAGTGAGCGATTTGGCTGCTGCATGAATTAGTTTGCTCTGGAGCCATCCTTCCTGAGCTAAGACAAAAATCTGTGAGCCGGAGGCTAAAAAACTGTGAGCTAGCTCACACTAACTCAGCTTAGAGGGAACACTGCTCACAACTCAAATGTAGCGGAGTCATTTTTCACATTCCGGTTTTGATGATCAAGAGTACAATAATGAAGTGTGCAATCCTGAATCCTGAAGTGTGCAATAATGAAGACTACAATAATGAATGAGACAGCCATAAGTGTGCAATCCTAAGTGCTCTCTTTGGGAAGTCATTCCTTTTGAGCTCAGTTTTTATTTCGAAGTAAATACGCTTTAGGGTCAGACTAAAAAAAAGCCTCCCCCCGTCCTGTGAGTAGTGGACCGAAAAATACACAAGTAATCCAACATGTATATCCAATATATTATTATCTGCTCTGTACTTAAGATACTTGATAATGTAATTTAGATACCATATCAGCATACAGAATTGTGTACAGCACTGTATTCCAAGATAGACCAAATGGGGATGTGAAGCAGGAATAAAAAATATCCTTCTCCATTCATGAGGTAAAATTGAAAAACAGTCCATCAGAGAAGATGGTTATAACTTCTCTTTGTAGAGAAGAGCTACATAGTCATTTCAAACAGGCATCAGTTAACTTATGGGGAATGTGCTTGCACAAAGAAACATGATTATCCAAGTATAAATATTCTGGGTTGGATCCTACCAGCTTTTTCACTAGTGAAAGAGAGCAAAAGAGCCCATTTAGACCATCAAAGAGGCCATAACATGAATTCTGGGACCTATCTGGACAAAAATCGCATGGGACTGTAGTGAGTAAGGGGAACCAGATGATAGTGGGAAAGTGGTAACCCGTTATTTGTACACTATCTAGAGATGGTTTGTATTAATAGCTGAATGATCCCTTTTGAGTATTCCTTGGTTATTTTCCCCCTGTTAGAATGGTTCAGTATTATTACATTAATTTTATTTTTGTCCTTTGCCATCAGTTACTGAATCTGAAGACATATAATTACTTTATTCTTCCTGAAAACAGATTTCATTGGTAGTATCTTGTTGTCTTTTAGCAACTGTTTTTTGCCTTCAGAGCAGCAGGCCTTACACAGGTTGTTGGACAAGGTCTTGTGTCATCTGAAAGAAGAGTTCCAAACAGTATGTGGATAAAGCTGGGCAGCTTCTTAAAGACTGAGGGGAAAATCTCTACCAGCATTCAATCTGCTTTTCAGATATATGCATTTTCAATTTACTGACGTACAGTAGAATCAGGCCTGCGTAACTGAAAGCAGCAACCAGTTCCAGAGGAGCTGTTTATTGGTCTGTTGATATAAAAACATTGGGGAGCCTTTAGGTACCTTACAGCCCAGCCAATCTATTGTGGCATAAGTTTTTGTGGGCCAGAGCCCACTTCATCAGATGCCTGAAGTGTTGTTAAACAACATGGCACACATCTGATGAAGTGGGCTCAAATACATGAAAACAGATGCCACAATAAATTTGTTCCTTTAAAGAACTGCCACAGGACTCTGTTGTTTTAAAGCTGAACTTGTTTATAGCCCCAGCCCATACAGTTTAAAATAGTGATAGCTTTCTTTCCAAATTAATAGCTTTATGCACAAAGAGTTGATTCCATAGATGAGAGGTATATCAAACATGCACAAATGTTGTTGTTTTTGGAATCCTTCTTCCACTCCAATTTAAGGACACAAAGTCAGATTGCTAGTTCCATCTTCAGTTCCTTTATTCTAGTCTGTAATTAAATTGACGCCGGCCAGTTGTGAATTTTATCTTGATTAACTTCTTACAAGAGGTTTTCCGTCCCACTTTGCCGCTTCCTTCTTGTAACATGTGTGTCACATCCTAATTACTAATAAGCATTGTGTTTAGAAAACTGTAGCTAAGGAAGAAACAGGCCTTGCAACGTGAGAATGATCTGAGCAAAAGCAAGGAGTGTTTTGAAATATAAAATCTGGAAATGGTAGAATGGTAGACCTGCCCTAGAGCCAATATGCTGTTTTTAAATAGCATTTGTAAAGGTACTTTTGAATAGTAAACACACTTCGTATATGTAATCTAATATTTAATTTTACATATAGAGTCCTTACAGAATCCTTGTAAATTGGGGTATTTACTGTAAAGTATTATATAGATGGGACTGAAAGAAATGGGGTCGGAGCCTGCAATCTGCAGACTCAAGGACTGCAGATCTTTGCTCTGATTTCTTCCCCCAGGGCCCAACAGTCCTTTCCCAGGCAAGTTCCAACCATGTGGGTCCAGAGGCTGCAATGGAGAAGGGGAAGGAGGTGCAATTGGTCCCTCATCTGCCAGCTGGAAAAAACAACCAAAACTTTGTCCAGCTCTGAAGCTGCATGCCATATTCTGATCCAGTATGCAGTGTATGTTCATGCTATTTTGATTTTTTTCCCCCCTGCATCTTTCTGTGGACAAATGTAGCACTTCACAGGGCCCAGCATTGTGGTGGTTGTACTTGTGTGCTGTAGGACGCTTTCAGTTACAGAGCCAGGCAGGTGGTAGTCTGTTTGTATTTAAGTCACAAATGCTTCTGCTGTTTTGTTTTAAAGTCCTTATGGGATTGCATCCATTTACCCGGGCATCAGGCCACTGGTGGCATAGTGACATGGCTTTTGCAACGCTGCTCCAGTCTCTGAGAATGTATTAACATGGCATTCTAGGCCACTCTATGCTTGTTGGACTTACACTGCAGGGCCTCAAAGGCTTTGAGAAGTCAGCACACTTATAATCTGCTTGTGTGGTCTTGGATCCTATTTTATAACTTCCCCTCACCAGGGCAGCTTTCTGCTTGTCACTTTAAATCAGGATTTAAATTTCCTTGACTTAAAACCAGCCCATATTGCTAGAAGTTGAGCAACAGAGTGGGAAGAGAGATACATTCCTTGCAGAAAGTTGAAGTTTTCCTGCCAAAACAATATAGCTCGATTCTGG